ATGATTCTATGATTCTATTCTATGTCTAGCCAGGCTGAACACACGGGCACCGTTCTCCTCTGTCGGCTTGACCAGAGTCAAGGAAAATCACCTGAGGTGTCTTTCCAAGAGTCCTTCACTGAAGAGCAGGTCATGGCGCTGGGCACTCGAGTTGTGCTCAGGCAATGTCAGCTCTACCAGCTCAATGAAAAGAACTTGCCTGCAAGCTGCAATGGCTGGGTTGGGTTTTTTTTTTCATTGTTCTGGGGAGACTTGTCAAAAGATTAATTTGTTATGCTATGTCAGTGAGTGAAGGGCAGGAGTGCTCACAGGGTCTTTGGGGAATAGTTTTCCTGATATTAATTGCTCCACACCCAGAAAAGTGTACTCAGACACAGTTCTTTACTGGCTCTCCTCTGGAGAGACTCTGACCTATATGAAAAAAAACCCAGCTTTGAGGCATTTTTTGATCTTGAGTTTAGCTGAACTTAGTGTCTAGGGGGGTCCTGTGCAGGAGCACAGTTTTTTTTTTTTGCCCCTGGGCAGAAAAAATGCTCATTGCCAGAGAGAATAAAATCCTTTCCCTTCCAGAAGTAAAATCCCTTATTGGTAAAATGGCAAGCAGGTTTGGAATTAGAATCCTGTTTGGATATTTCCTGCTTGCCTAAGAATAAAGAACAAGAGATTCCACAAGGTAACTTATGTACGTTGTCATAACTACTTAGTGCTGAGACTCACTTTGTTCTTTTTGATTATCGGTTCCTGCTTACTTATTTCTAGCATGGGCTTGCTCAAAGACTGCTTTCTCCATGTAAATCAGTACATGTGTGAGGTGGCTTGGATGAACTCTGGCAGAGCTGCAAACTCTCATGCTGGATTATGTGGATGATTGCAGGTTGGTCTGGTTTACATGTTCAACCTTATCGTCGGAACCGGAGCCCTAACCATGCCGAAGGCCTTTGCGACAGCGGGGTGGCTCGTCAGCCTCGTTCTCCTAATGTTCCTGGGATTTATGAGGTGGGACGTGAGTGTGTGTCTCTGGGGGACTGGGGGGTTCGGTTGGGTGGGGCTGTAAGGACAGTGCTAAGTTTGCTGCTTTTCTGAGGGATTCTGTCCCTCTGCTGCTTGAATCATAGAATTGTTTTGGTTGGAGGAGACCTTTAAGATCAAGTGCAAGTGTCAACCCACCTCCAAGTCTACCCTAAACCATGTCCCTCAGCACGACATCAACTCGTCTCTTAAATCCCTCCAGGGGTGGTGACACCGCCACTTTCCTGGGCAGCCCGTTCCAATGCCTGACAGCCCTTTCTGTGAAGAAGTTTTTCCTAATATCCAATCTGAACTTTTCCCTGGCACGTCTTGAGGCCATTTCCTCTCATCCTATGGCTTGTAACTTGGGAGAAGAGACCGACCCCCGTCTTGCTACACCCTCCTTTCAGGAAGTTGTAGAGAGCAATAAGGTCTCCCCTGAGCCTCCTTTTCTCTAGTCTGAATACCCCCAGTTCCCTCATCCGCTTCTCACAGGAATTGTGCTCCAGACCCTTCCCCAGCTCCGTGCACTTCTCTGGACATGCTCCAGCACCTCAGTGCCTTTCTTGTAGTGAGGGTCCCAAAACTGAACACAGGATTCAAGGTGTGGCCTCACCAGTGCTGAGCACAGGGCCATCGGTCTCTGCAGTCGTGTTGCCTGTGGACCTTATTTGGAGGGATGTGTTTTCTGACTGCCTGCAATATGGTGCTACATCCCGTTTCCTGACTTCTCCAGTCTTCTGGGCCTTTCTCCCAGCTTCCTTATTTTTAAGACTGTCCTTGCTGTGGATGCGTCCCACGCTTGCCTGCCACGGTTCAGTTCCTCAGACACTAACCAGGTCTCGGTTGACACGGGGTCCTTTCTCTGCTTTGTGACTTGAGGATGTGATGCAGACGTGCTGTGTGAGCCTGCTCTGGGCAGCTGCAAGCGTGTCAGGAAAACAAATTACTGTGTAGCCCAGTCTTGTTCCTCCCTGACCTCTGCCTTTGCTGCTGGAGACCTTGGAGCTGGTCTCCTGATTTTCACACTGGCTCGCCAAGAGCTGCTGCCCAGACATCTTCCTGCTGGAGCGGCAGGTGGAGCTGAAGGCTACGGGTACAGCACTGATGGCTAAGGAGTTATTAATAGAATTGCTGTCTTCTGCCGGGCTGCAGATCCCTGCTGGCTTCTTGCTTGGTTTTAAAACGTAATAAACCAAAATCCCCTCCTGCCGTTTGTAAGAATGGAATTTAGGAGGTCCTTTCTTGTCAGTAGCCAGCCCTGTCAGCCTGAATGGGCCTTGGATGTGGAGGTGGTGCTTTTCGGATCTGTTGGGTGCTGCTGTATACAGGGACTGTATGGGCAGTACTGACTAAGGGTGCCTGTGAGTTCCCCACCTCAAAGCTGTATGCTGCAAAGCCTTTAAAATGTAAACTGTGGGAGTACCAGTAACAGAGAGCTTTTGGAGACAATTCCTTTTAGATACATTAGTTCAGACCTGGACAGGGTGGAGAGGTGGGCCTGTGAATCTTGTGAAGTTCAGCAAAGCCAAGTGCAGGGTCCTGCAGCTGGGTCAGGGCAATCCCAAGCACAAGGACAGGCTGGCAGAGAATGATGGAGAGCAGATCCCTGAGGAGAAGGACTTGGGGTACTGGGGGACGAAAAGCTTAGCATGACCTGGCAGTATGCACTTGCCAACTATATCCTGCGCCTCTTCAAGAGAAGTGTGGGCAGCAGTTTGAGAGGGGGGATTCTCCCCCTCTGCTTTGCTCTTGAGAGCCCCCACCTGCAGTTCTGCATCCAGCTCTGGAGCCCCCAACATAAGAAGGACAAAGACAGGTTGGAGCGGGTCCAGAGGAGGCCACGGAGATGCTCTGAGGGCTGGAGCCCTTCTGCCATGGGGACAGGCTGAGAGTTGGGGGTGTTCAGCCTGGAGAAGAGAAGGCTCCGGGAAGACCTTATAGCACCTTCCAGTGCCTGGGGGGGCTACAAGGAAGCTGGGGGGGCCTTTTTACAAGGGCCTGTAGTGACAGGACAAGGGGCAACGGGTTTAAATTGAAAGTGGGGAGGTTTAGATTGGATATCAGGAAGAAGTTCTTCCCGGAGAGGGTGGGGAGGCACTGGGACAGGTTGCCCAGAGAAGCTGTGGATGCCCCATCCCTGGAAGTGTCCAAGGCCAGGCTGGATGAGGCTTGGAGCAACCTGGTCTAGTGGAAGGTGTCCCTGCCCATGGCAGGGGGTTGGAACTAGATGATCTTTAAGGTCCCTTCCAACCCAAACTATTCTATGAAAAGCATGAATTCATAGTATGAAACTCAGCACCAGCAGACAGTCCTTCAGGGTCAGCAGAAGAGCACAAACCTCCAAACCTGCATACCAGAACTGCAGTGGATTAACCTAAGAAGATGCAGCACAAAGTACTACGTGCCTTGGGAGCTGCATTGCTCTGTTGCTTTTGTTCTGGTGCTCGTGACTTCCTCGTGCCCACTGGGGACCCCTCAGTGCGAGAGGAGTCTGGGCGGAAGTTGCTACATGGGCCTCGGGACAGGGCTGCTTGCTGTTAGTCTTGCAAAACTCATCTCTCATTTGAGCCTGATGAATCCATTTCCTGAAGCAGGGATAAACCACTTTAAAGCCTTAAATAAGAGTGATTTGAGATTTGTTGTGTTTTTAATCGTAGGAGTGTTTTTAGCTGAGATACTGCTATTCCTTCCATCAGTGGCTCTCGCTGTTTCCCTGGACAGCTTTCTCCTTGGCCTCCAACAAAGTGTATTTGCATGCACGTGTGATCTGCAGCTTGGTCTTGTGTTGCTGCTTTGCTTCTGCTGCCATTTGTAAGATTCTTTAAGGGACCGTAGTACCTTTGCCACAGGCCCTGATGGCAAGCTTCAGAGTAGTACTGTGTTTGTCCTCAGCCCAAGGAGAGGAAGGAAGCTTGCTTTCTAACAACGGGGGGAAATACTCTTGCCGCCTTCAACCCACAGAAGCACTAGGAAGGTGCCTTCCAGATGTCTAAAGTGTCTTCTTATACATAATGGTGTGTTAAATTTTACTGCATTTTGTGGTCTGCTTGAACACCTTAATTTCAAGAGCAGATAAGAGCAGCAAACAGGTGAAACACTGTACCAAAACCGTAGTGTGTGTGGGGAGCTTGTGAAAGGGGGTGGGTTTGGTTGGTTTGTTTGCTTCTACAAATAGATGGGAATAATTCTCCATCTCCCTTCATTGGCAGTTCTTGGCTATTATTGATATCAATGGAATTTCTCTCTCTAGCTATATGACTACGACCTTTGTGGTGGAAGCCATGGCTGCTGCAAATGCCCAGCTGCGATGGAAGAGAATGGAAAAACGCAAGGTCTGTGTGAGGCTTAATCTTTCCATTTTGTCTCATTCTTTTGTGCTGTAGGACTTGCCTGAGACTCCTCTGCATCTTTGCCTTGTTTCATTAGTAAGTCTAAAGGAATAAATTTCTACTGTACTTAACTTTGCCATATAAAATATGGCTGTTAGTTCCCTGTGGGGTTGCTCATTAAAGATGGGATTTTCTGCTTCTGCTTTGAAAAATCTCTTGTGCTGTTCACATTTCTTACTGATTGTGTTCTCCTTGCCCAGAAGCGCTGCTCAGTGAATGTGGAGAGGTGGCAGCCAATATATTGGTGCTGTTTGGAGTGTGTTGAGGTCTATAAATCCTTGCTGACCTCAGGTCACTTAACTGGAACAGGCTGGAATGTCCTTGCTGTCACTCGGACTGTATCCCGGGGAGTGGACAGTCCTGAAGTATGTCCTTGCTGTGAAACTTGTGGCTTTTTGGATCCTGGCTTTAGTGGCTTTTCTGGATCAGTGCAAGGCATATTTGTTTGCAGTGATGTAGATCCCTGCCCGTATGTTAGTGGGTTGGAGTTAGGAGCTAGACCTGTCTGCTCTGACTAGCTAAGACTATATATGTTTGGATTTTTTTTTCCCCACCAGTTCTGCAGCCTTGCAGATCTGCTGGAAGTTTCTAACTTCCTTCTGCTGCCTGTCACTAAAAGAACTGGATACTGTTGCTGCGTGCGTGACCTAGGCTAGGACAGCAGAGCCTGTCACCCTCTTCAGCCTGCTCTGCTAGTGTCCTCTTCTGCTCTCTGCAGCATCCCAAGCCTTGGCCCAGGGCTCCCTGGTATTGCATTTGCTTGCATGTCCTGCCCATCCCTATTTGGGACCTTCCTTTGAGTTTATGGAAGTGATACATGACACTGGTGATGCCACAGCCTGTTCTGTGGGTAGCAGCCATCTCAGCAGTGGGCTGGTCTTTTCTTCCAGGAGGATGATGAGGATGAGGATTCTTCCTCTGGAGTGTCAGACAGTGACGTTCTCCTCCAAGATGGCTACGAGCGAGCAGAGACACGACCTATCCTGTCAGTTCGTAAGTACCCGGTTCATGCTTTCACTGGTTCTGAGACCTCTGTCAGCAGTGCCCCAGTGGGCTCCACCAAGTGGAGCAGAACTCTTCTGTCCATTTTACCCTTAATTCCACATGCTCACATCCAAAAGTCCTTAGCACTTGCAAGGTAAGACTCATTGAGAATTCAGTTCACCTTCTGCAGTCTGATAAAGATCTTTTCCTTCTAGGTCACTAAGATGAGAACATCTTACTTTGAAAACACTTTTAAACTATTTTCAGAGTAATTGGACTGGCGACTCTGAGTAGTGGAGTCGCACGTACTGTCCTTCAAACTGTTACTAGAGCTTCATGGGTGTCTTCAGGTAGTCTGGCCTCTGGGTTTATTGGAGAGACTGGCTGAAACACTCCTTGTTTTCAACTTACAGAGAGACGTGGCTCACCCAATATTTTTGAAATCACTGAGAGGGTGGAAATGGGCCAGATGGCTTCCATGTTCTTCAATAAAGGTAAGTGATTCTTCAAAAGCCCCTTCAGGTCCTCCTGCATGTTGTGTGTATGGCTTTTCCTTAAGTTTGCATGCTTCTCAGTGTGGGTCTGCATCCTGAATTTGTGATGATTCCATCCCAAGGTGTCATTCCTTCTCTCTGTGGACTGTGTTCATCCCCCCTATGTGGTGTTTCTACAGAGTAGAATATTTATGGGCCAGAACCTGCTGTGGTGGTAGTAGAACTAGCCAAAACACTGCAGGTTCTGGGCCCGTTTTCTTGAGACAGGTGAGTGTAAGTCAGTGCTTTCTCTGACTGCCCTTAACCTAACTCTTAACTGCATCTATCCTCTGTGACCTCTGTCTAAAGTGGAGCCCAGCTGTAGTGTTCGCTAGTTCCATCTTGGTAGGGTGTTTCAGAATAAGATGTTCAGGCTTCCCTAAACCCTGCAAGCATCAGTCTGAAGGAGAGACACTTCAGGGGAGAGCTGCTGAGGACTGTGTGTGTCTGAGGAGTCCCCAGGGAGCTGCTGGAAGGGGCCCTGGTGTGCATATGATAGGCAGCAGTCTTGCCTTTTTGCTTTTAAATCTCTTGTATGCCAGGGAACAAATTGTAACTGGGCTGCAATAAAGCCATGTCCATTGCTGCCTGCGGTAGAAATGCAAACTGCAGCGGTAGGTATTCTGGAACTTGTAAAATGGTACATTTGAAGTGCTGTGCAGAGCCAGAAAATCATCAGACACCCTGGTTGTGCAGTTTTGAGCCTGTCAGGCCCCATTTCTTGTGGAAAGCGACATTTTTCTCTTGTTCACTGGCCACCTTACAAAGATGAGATGGGCTGGTTTTTTCCACTACATTACATCAGCTTTATGCCAGTGTAAGACTGTTGCCTCTGAAGGGCAGTGGGGCTGAAGGAGTGGAGATTCTTTCAACTACAGTATTCCTGATTTTAAAGTCTAATTGAAAAAAAAGCTTTTTAATTTCCGTGCATGCTTTTTCTGGGCCTTTGTAGATTTAAATCACTTAAGACTATCAAAGTAATCCACCTTGGATCAGGCTGCTGCTTTTCTAGTCAGTGAAGAGGTGATTTAAGTATGGGTTGGAGACTCAGAAATGTCTTGTTCCTGTTCTTGCCTGTAGCTTTGCCATCTGTAAAAAAACTGTAAACACTTCCCCGTGTCTTGATCATCTTCTGGAGAGTAATAATTGGGCAATGCTTTGAGAACAAGCACCGTATACCAGGGCTGAGCAGTGCTGCTGAGGATTCGGCTGCAGCGGCCTGGTCAGCTGCAGGAAGGCTGGGGGATCACAGGGGGCACAGCCCTTCCATGAGAAAGTTCCCAAAGGGCCCTGCTTTGCGTGTGCTTCACAGGGGGAGGGGGTAACCCCCCCAAAGCCAGCCAGGCGTTGGGCAATGCCTTCCAGACCTCTGCCTGGGTGCTGGCGGCTGCTCAGACAGTAGAGGGTGCTGGAAATACGTGTCCTCCCTCCATCAGGCACTGGTGTGCAATGCCTGGCAAAGTGATATAAACTGCTTAGTACTCTAAATCTTAATCCCTCTTCTTAATGTTGCTTTAGCCAGAGTTATCTGATTTCTGTGTTAGGGATCCTCCCCAGGACCTGCTCAGCCCAATGCAAAGGGATGAATCCCGCTGTGGGAAGGCAGCTGGAATGGCTGCAGACCAGAGCTTGAAACAACTTGTGCCTTCCAGACAAGATGAGGTACGCACAGCAAAGGCAGCTGTAACTCATTTCCCTTCCTCTGTGCTCAGCTACAGGCTCCATCCCTGTACTGTTGCTGAGCCCTCGTTCAGAGACTCCCTCTGGTCTGCTGAGCAGTTGCGGAGAAGAGACAAGTTAGATACCTCCCTCTGCAGATCCTTGCTGAGGTGCCATCTTCTGATGGTTGCACGGAAAGGCCTTCAGTAAGGGCAGTTGGTACTGCCCTGTGCTGAGAAACTGGGACACACTGGGGAAGCGCCGGCTCCGAGCACCAACCTCTGCGGTTTCACAGCTCGCAAATATCTGGCTAGGTTTTTGCTCCCGATATCCAGAGCATGGATCCAAAGCCGAGGTGGCTGAGGGCTTTGCAGCCTTCAGAGGGAAGGCCGGTGAAAGCTTTGCAGTAGACTGCAAAGCCTCTGATTTCTAGCAAGTTCTCTGCTCCTTTCTCTTGACTGATTTTTATTTTCAGCAATCTGACAGGAGTTGAATCTGCAGTCCTGGGAGGTAAGCTGGGGATAAATCTCAATTTCAGACTGCCTGCTTTATTAAAGGGAGCTGACTTAGGTTTAGGCTGTGAAGGGCCTGTGTGCTCTTTCAGAAGAGCTGGCTCTGAAGAACCGTGCTCTTTTTTTCTTTTAATTATTTTTTTTTAGTTGGCGATATTGGGTGCCGCCTTCTGGGACTGAACAGTCGTTTACTGCAGCAGTGGATTCTAGACACATCCATCATGCTGTTTCCCCACAGGAAGCCATTGATTCTTTCTTTTCCCCGTTTTGTGTCCAGTAATGAAAGTATTGATCAGGGAGGGTCGGCAGCAGTTTGTAAAAGAACTGATGCTGAAGTCTTCCTGCCTTGGAGAGGATGGGTTTGGGAGAGGAGTGGCACCTGGACTTCCCACAGAGATGTTGGCACTGGAATGGGGATATAGCGTGTGCTGGTGGGTACCCAGTGGTGGCTTGGCTGGTCGTGTTAGCCTTGTTTTGGGGGGAGCAGCTGAGGCCAGAGGTCGGTAGCAGATCCCTAAACAGAATCTCTGCCTGAACCTATGTAGGCCTGTGCCTGGTGTCTTGCAGCTTCTGCCCTCTGTCAGGTGTTTGTTACAACCTTCGACCCTTTCGAATGGGAAATAGGTGAAAACTAGTAGGTGGGTTGTTGCCATCTTCAGAACAATGCCAAGACTTCTTAACTGTGAAGCCATCTTAAATCTTTCAGAGGAGGGAAATAAGGGGGGGAACTGTAAGAAATGATCTGACAGTTTCTGTAAGATCTCCATTTGTCTGTTTAGGCAAACAGAACAACTCAAGTACTGCCTTGGTGTGCCGTTTTACAGGGGCAGGGACATTTTCTTGCTGCTTTCCCAATACAGCCCTTTTTTTTTTTTTAGGAATGTTTTGTGCTACGTAGGCCCAGCACATTGAATAATTTATTTAAATGAAGGAGAATGCCTGTTAATGTTTCCTGAGATCCAGGGCTGGTATGACGGTAAAACTTCGGGGCATCCAAGCACTGTAGAAATATTAGTCCATCCTCCTGCAGTAGTGCTGTCCTTGTTTGATAGCTGTCACGTGTGAGGCGTGGAGAGGTGAATCGATTTGCTGAGGCCGCAGTAGGATTAAGCATCAGGTGGCATCACAACTTGAAAGTATGGGCAGGTTCCTTGAGCTGTTTTCCTTCAATGTCGACTTTGTAAATGAAACAATTCTGTGGCTGGGTTGTTGTTTGTTTTTGTTTTTTTTTTAGCTCACCTGTCTCTGGACTAAAATATGTTCCAGTTTGTTTTTCCTTAGGGAGATTTATACTGACTTGCTTGGAAGAAAAGAATCCTGGGGTCTCATCAAGCATTTCTTTATCCCTGCAGGGTTTAGCCCTCTATAGCAGTGTCTTGTGCTCCAGTAAGACTGTTCTGTGCACCCAATTAACTTGCATAAGACTTTTTAATCTCATAGGTGAAGGCAGAGCAAGCTTTAAAAAAACATAATGGGAAAAAAACCACCCAAGAAAACAGTATGGGGCAGGAGCAGTGTACACTGGCAGTAGGGTAAGGGGGGTAGAGAGACAGAGTTTTAAAGCCTTGCAGGTTTGAACCCTGGCTGAAGTTGCTGATGGTAAGGGATCTCCCAAAGCAGCTCTGTTTCATCCCTGTGCAACCTGAGTTCTGCAGGGACGAATCCCTAAAGTGAAGGTTCTGTAGATTCGCAGGCAGAGCATTTGGAATCAGCGGAGACCAAGTCTTCTTCATTTCACTGTTTGTCAGGCCGTGCTCAGGCCAGGTCTGTGAGCATCAGCCGGATGCTTGCCTGTGGTTGTTCCTCCATGGCTTCATCTGACAGATGACTTACATGTCACCTGTTGGTCTTGACCAGCGACTGGAAGACGGGCTTGAACTAGAGGCCCAGGGCCAGGTGTTGAAGGAGGCAGAGTTGAGCTCTGAGGCGCGCCACGTCCCATCAGTTCTGTGCTTGGCCAAGTTCCCTGAGCTGCTGATGTGTCCCTTGGGTGAAGTTTGCTGCAGAAAGAGTAAACTGTGGAGGCAAATGGTGATTTAAGACATAGAAAAAGTTTTGTACATTTGAAGTGCAGAGCTGAAGAGTCACCGTGTACTCTGCTGGCTCTGTACAATATTTCCTTTTCCTGCAGTGGGTGTCAACCTCTTCTATTTCTGCATAATCATCTACCTCTACGGGGACCTGGCAATCTACGCAGCAGCCGTACCGGTCTCTCTCATGCAAGTGACCTGGTGAGTGTCTTTACTGCTGTGGGGTTGTGTGCTAACAGAAGAGAGCAGGCTTTTGGATTTGATGGGCTGATGAGCCTGACTGTGGGATCAGCTTTTCTTTCTGAAGCACGGAGTGAAGAAATGACTCAAGAACAGCTCATCACACGGGGCTGGGAAGGTGAAGTTGTTTTATGGTCCCTACCCGAGTGCCTGCTTGGAAAATACTGACCTGCTTTCAGACAAGCCCTCAGGTGTGAAGAACTTCCATGTGTGCAAGTGCTGAAGCTGGGACTTGTTGCTCAATAGTTTGATTGCAATATTTTAGCTTCGCTGTTCGTTTGGGTAAGAGCTGAGAGGTGTGATGCTTTCCAAGTCTGTGACCAGTGAGTAGTGATGTTACATGGACTTAGCTCTGGACTGAGTCCAGTTCCTTTCTCAAAAAAACAGATAATCAAAGAAATTGGTTCAATCAACTCTGTGCTGGGCTGGATTTGGACTCATGGCTTGGAAATGGGAAACCTCAGTGGTCCATATATGATGTAAGCTTGCTAGCTTGATGACCAAACTTTGAAATAACTGCAGGCAATTCAAGAACTTGCCTTCAGTGTATGGTACTTGGTGACTTGCTTTGCTACGCAGTCCAGAAAACGTAAGGGGGGGTGGTGGTGTTCAGGGAGGCAGAGGAGGAATGGACGCTTCAGGTCTCTGATCATTCTTCTTTCTTGAATGCAGGAGAGGGGAAGACATCTGCTCGGAGTTAATTACTGTCTTTTGTTTCTCCCTCCTTTCCCAGCAGTGCCACTGGCAACCATTCTTGCAGTGTTGGAGATGGCACAAAGTATAACGATACGGACAAGTGCTGGGGGCCAATTCGACGGATTGATGCTTACAGACTGTATCTGGTGAGTTTCTGGAACTGGATGACCATTATTTCTGTTTAAACTTTTTCTAGTGGATAAGAATTTTTTTCCTGTAGAGAAAATGTGGTTCAGGTGAACAACAGAGGTGTGAAGCTTTCGGTTCAGTGACCTTTTGGGTGTCTCTGTTCTTGGTGACGTGGCTGTGTTTTAATTCGGTGGCCATCAGAACGTTCCTTACGATTTTGGGTTTAAGTACAGCTCTGTCCTTGTTGTGTAGCTTCGTATTGCTTAAGCAGGTGATCTGTCCATGCTGAAGGGCGGTGTATTTTTCAGTGGCTGGCTAAGTAATTGTTGCTCTGAGGTAATTGTTGTCAATATACTGGAGTATATTAAGCTCTGTTGAGTGCATTCTTTATGTGAATAAAATTGTTTATGCTGCAGGAGAATCTGCTTTTTGAGAGATGATGGAAACAGCCCACTGAAACAACAACCAGTGCTATATGCTGCTTTAGTAATAGCTTTCTGTCTAGTTTAGGATTGTCTATTGCATCTATTACTGTGCTGTGGTTCTGCTCTGAAACCGGGGTTTTTCCCAAAGGATGATAAACACTGCTTCTCTTGAGCTTGGGGAGAGTCGAGCACTAGTACCTGGAGACGGATGTCAGTAGGGCAAAATGTGAAGAGGCAGGTATGCAGGTGCTGCAAAGTCTGGCTTCTGTTAAGGGTCTCGGTGAGATTTTTTTAAGTAAAAAAGAAAAAAAGGAAGGTGTCTGTGTGTGTGCGCAGAGAAATCTGGGGGTAAAGACTATTTGAAGCAATTTTGCAGTTAGTACATTTTGGAAAAGCAGTGGATCACATCCCTGAGTGCACTTGTTCCAGCGTTATTGCAGAAGTAAGAGCTGGGCCTCGGAAATATTAGTGAATGTCAAAGCCTAGTTAATTATTCAAGAGAAATATTATTGCTTTATTAAATTGTGTCTTGGTCTGTTTCTTTAAAACTTCCAGAAGATTGAAGATTTCCTTCCTGAATTTCAATAACTCTCCCTGACCCAGCAGAAGGAGCTAGTCAGAAAAGGCAGACATGCATTAATTACTGCCTGCATCTCTCAGATATTATGTCTATAATTCATGAAGATAATTGTTGCTAGGACTTGAAAAATTAAAAAAAATTAAGACTGTGTAAGCATTAGACTCGCCGTCTGTGTACATAACTCTCGGAGGAGCTTTTCCCTCTGCTTGTCTCCTCTTGTGGATTTGGAGAATAAATATCTGCAAAGTCTTTGGCGGTGGTTAATCCTTCCTGGTGCAGTAATGGAGATGAGGGTTTCGGTGCTTTTCTCTGCTTCCCCTTAGAAGTAGGGAGGGACTGTTTGTGGGAGAACATGCCAATCTGCAGTGGGTTACTGGCAGGGAGCTGTTCCCACAGTCATTATTTTCTGGAGACCGCTTAGTGTCAGCATTACCTCCACGTTGTGGTTTTCTGTTAAGGCCTCTAATGCTTCTTACTGGATGAGTATGGGAGTAAACTGGGATTTGTTCTATCTCCAGCTCCCACTCACTCCCTGCGTGACCTGTGTGGTTTTATTCTCCAGAAAACAAATATGATGATGACTTCCCTAGACAGAGGTGAGAGGTGTCACCACTTAAAGCATTCAGACCACAGTACTGCCACCAGCTTCAAACTGGGGCTGCTCTGAAGTGACTGTGCTGGTTAATATTTTTCCCCTGATGTCCTGTTTGCAACGTGGACAATTAGTGACCGTTAGTTACAGCTCCTAAACCTCTGGGAGAAACCTGGGGATGGGAGAGCAGGGGTAGGAAGTTCCTCTAGTTCAAGCAAAAAATGGAGTAGCAAAACACTGTGAATGTTTCGACAAATTTTGTCCAAGTGGAGTCTTGAATATGCAACAAAAGCTGAAACCTGCCTGTTTGAAGGGGAAAAGGCAACGTGAAAGCGAGGAGAGGTGAGATACATCGAGAGCATACCTGTTCTCTTGGTCCCGGGGGATGGTACCCATAGAGAACGTGCACTGTTTACTTGACTTTTTCTTTCTTGGATTCTTGCTTGTTGGAATAATTCAGATTCCACATTTCAGTGGACAAACAAGGTCTCTTTTTGCAGGCTAAGTTCCCCTGTGGCAAGGGGACAGATGGACACCGCAATCCCAAAAGAAAGCAGCTGAGTGTTTGGATCAGCCCTTTTGTCCTAGATGCCTGTCTCTAGTTTTCTCACCTCCTCTTAGTGCTGTATTTAGCTTTAAGGTTTAGGGGCGAGGTGGGTCGCTGGAACCTCTTGCCCGTTACGGTGAAGCAGGTCTCTGGTTGTAGCATTGTATTTCTTACTCTGTGCATGACCCCACAGAAAGCCTTTTTTTGGACTACCAGGAGAAATAATCTATTTGAGGTTTTCTGGGAAAATGGTGCCAGTGGGAGCTCTCTTGTGCCAAGTACCACCAGTCTGCCAAAGATCTGTGCTGCCTTCCTCCTGTCGATTCTCTCTCCCAACACTCTCGTCTTCTCAACAAAAAAACATTTCAAACATTGACTCTTCGAGCTGGGGGTGGAGGGGGGAATAATGACTGATGTAAAAATCCTATTTCACGCTTTATTGTCCAAAAAGGCCTCTGGAAGCTGTCTCTGCTCTGATCACTGTGAATGGCAGCTGAAAACTATGGACATAATGAGAATATTTAGACAGTTCAAATTCTTCTCTTGAGACTTGCTTGTCTGTGCAGTATCTTTATTGCTGCTCCAAAATTTCACACCTAAGTGTGACTGCAGAGTCTTCTGAGACCACTAGGCCCCTATTAACCTTTGTCTGAATAAATGGTTGTCTTGCTTCTTGTTTGTAAATTGCCTTGGAAAATAAAGGCTTGCAAAACAAATAAGCCAAGACAAGTGCAGGAAATACCGAAATAGACTTTTGCTCCTGTTCTGTCACTTGTTGCCTAATATTTGCCTCCTCTTTGGGGCCGTCGGAGTTCTGGGAGGTTTAAAAGGTGAGGCTGTTCCATGCCTGTGAGGGCAAGACCACACAGGGCAAATCGGCTGGAAGAAAGGCATGTGTCAGGTGGCCCGGTGACCTTGTTGAAGGCAAGCACTGATTACAGATAAAGCAGATCGATGGCTTTCTATCTTCGCTGCAGATCCATCACCGTGCTGTCATGTCCTCGACAGCTGGAGTGACTCCCGAGTCCCTCGGCTGTCTCAGTGGCAGTGCTAAGGACAGGGTCGAGTTCTCTTCGTGCTGAATTCACTCTTCGGCGCAGTTGCTCTGTCATGCTTTCTGTAAGGTCAGCTGGGCATCTTCTGCGTAGGCTGTGGGGAAGGGGTAGCAGATTTAAGTCTCAGATCTCTCATCATAACACTCTCTTGTCTTTCTGTTTTGTGCTGTAGGAATGGGACGTGATAGTCCCTGTTTCTAGAAAGCAGATACTGAGATAAATAAGAGATTAAATCCTGAGGATCAGCAGCCATTCAGAGTGTCTGATCCAAAACGCATTCATGACCTGGCAAACGGCGCTTGTCTTCTGCACCAGGGCAGCCGTTGTTGTTAAAACCTCTACTCTCTTCTCAGCCCTCCTCTTCTGGCAATTTGGGACCTGGTGTCTTCCCATGATGGAAAGGAAACGGCTTAAATTCTCAGGGGGAGCCGTGCACCTTTCAGAAGAGGCACTGGCACAGGTACTCCTGGTAGCCTGGCTGGGTAGCACGTCAGAGCTACGAGGTGCATCTGTTCCGTCTGAGTCTCTGTTGGTGTTTTAGCTGATTGGGAAAGGGACGCGGCATCCGCTTTTGCCGGTTCACAGATGCTGCAGTATCGCAGGCAGCCCAGCGGGTGCAGGCCGAGCGAAGATGGGAGCGCAGATGGTTTAATGGAGATTATCCCAGTTGGAAACGTGCTTGTGCAGTGAATAAAATGAGCGGGCTCGCAGGCGCTTACCGTCCCTCTTCAGGAGGGGACAATGTCACCCCAGCCCGACGCTCTGATCAGAATACCCAGTGACCAGAGCGGGGCTGGGCTGCAGCTGCGGGAGGCTGTGCAGGGGGGTGAGGAGGTAGTCTGAGGACACGTATAATTGCTCAGTGCCAGCAGAACTTAATCGGCAAATGCAAAGGCTGAACTGATAAGTGTGGATGTAGATCCTGGCTGCCTCGGCATGGTGCTGCCTTCCTGACTCCCTTGGGCTGTAGGCCGGAGCACCGTGCCTTGTGTCGCTAATGTACGTGCTCTGCTTCCCCCCTCGGCATTTCTCCTTCCCAACTGTGCTTTGTGTGTGCACCCTCTGCTCTGGGTAAAAGTATCGGTGATTTTTTTTTTTTTGTCGTAAAGGGTCTTTTCAGGTACATTTGCCTGCGCTAGGGCAGTTTTATCGGCTTGGTCAGTGCGTGAGACTCTTGCGTGTCCCCATCTCCAGCTCAGGGTTGCCTTCTGGCTTTCTTTGTGGGTTTTTTGTTTTACCTCCCAGCAGCGATGTGAGGGGAACCCTCATGGCACTACTTGAACATCCACGCTTGATCTGTCTTTTGCCAACTGGGAGTTGGAGCAATAAAGCTGGAGCAGTGCTGCAAGCAGAGTGCTTCTTCCAAGGACACCTGGATTTGCTCCGCTTGTTCCCTTTACAGCAAGTGCTCTTCCTCTGCCTTGCCTTCCTCAGCTGTGCCCTGCAGCAGCATCCAGTAATAAATGGGTCACAGCTGCTGTCTCCTGGATATTTATTCTTACAGGTCTCTATCTGGAGACCTTGAGAACCAGCAGTGGGGAAGGTATCTGCTTCAGTGGCGGGTGTCCGGAGCAGGGGGGCTGATGTCACAGCGCATCAATCAAAAAGGTTTGGGGTGCTTCCCTTGGGCTCCCAGGGTGAGCTGGGGGAAAGGAAGGAAAGCTGATGGAAGTTTATGCTGCTGGTGTGAAGCCATCCTCTTGTTTAAAGAAATTGCTTAAACTGTAGCGTTGTTATGTTCCAGGTCACCCCAGCTGACAGTAAGGATGCAGCAGGACTGGGGCGCTATTAGCATGTCACCCTGCATGTCCTATAAGA